AGTGAGCACACATACCTTCTTGTAAAAATCTCCTAAAAAACCGCCCGAAAAGCTCTCAAAAAAAAAAAAAATCCCAAGAGTAGAATGGAGAGAAGAGATTGCATTTCACCTGGGAGGTGACTTCTCACTTTCTCTCTCTGTCTTCAGTGAGCACACATACCTTCTTGTAAAAATCTCCTAAAAAACAAACAAATAAACAAACAAAAAACGTTAAAATACATATTCCTAGGCCTCAACAGCAAACATTCCAGTGCATTGAGTTTGGGGTCGAATCTAAAATTGACATTTCTTTTTTTTTTTTTGGAGGGGGAGGGGTAGAGGGGGTTTGCCATAGGGCACATGCACTTGCCAGAGAAAAGAGACAGAGAGAAACAATGAGAGAAATCATTCCCAGGAGGGATGACCATACTGCAGTCCTTCTCCTCTACTCCCCTCCTGGGATTTTTGGCATGCACACACACATGCCCAGCATGAGTTCCAAGCAGCCAGGTCTGGAACTCGAACCACTTTCAGCCATGTAGGAATCCAGGATCCTAACCACCTCACCACCTGCTGGCCCCCTGGAATTGACATCTCTATCTCAGGGATCCCCTGGTCATTCTGACAGTGGTGGTCTTAGCATCACACTTTGAGAAGGACCCACCTGCAGTACCTCACACAGTGCCTCATGCACAGCAGACGCTGAAGTAGTAGTACCTCCCTTCAATGATGTCTTCAGCAAAAGAATTTCGGTCTTTCTTTCACTACCTCATGGCTTGGTTGTGGTTCACCCCCAACATAGGATGGTCAGTATCCACTGAGCACAGTGTGAAGGTTTTCATTATTTCATGCAAAGCTTTTTATGGACTCTCTGATGTTGGCCTGATCCAAGCAAATTTATTAAAAAGGCAGCAGATAAATGTATCAAAATATTTCTCTTGTATTTTCTTTCTTTTATGTTTAGGTAGTCCATTATTCTTTAAATATCAGAAAAATACAGTCTTACATGTTCTTCTCATTTTGCTTTTTTTAAAACTTGGGTTCTTAGTTCTTCATATGTAACTTACTACACTGCAGGTATGTTTTTTGTATAGTGGGACATAATACTCTACCCTTGGCCTTTTAGAAATTATCACCTGTCTCATGCTCGCTTTTTGAATATTTCATATTTGCTATACTGATTTGAATTATGGCCTTTATAATATAGTCTATATATGACATTTATATGCTTTTATAATTGTTGCTTGGCCTTTGGCTAAGATCAGTTGTATATACATTTATTAAAAATAGGGGTTTTATTCTCTTCCCAACTGATTTCCTATTTGCAAACACATTCTGTAGTGGTTTTATTTTTTGTATGTTTGTTTGTTTTGGGAGATTATTGTTATAGGGTGCATGCACCAGCTGGAGAGTCAGAAAAGTGAGAAATCTCCCTCCAGGGGGGATGGCCACATCACAATCCCTTCTCCTCCATTCTCCTCTTGGGATCTTGGGCACGCACGCACGCACACACATACACCCCATGTGAGTTTCAGGTCACCGGTCTGGGACCTGAACTGCAGTTGGCCACGTGGGAGTCCAGCAAAATAACTGCTACACCATCTGCTGGTCTCTCTGTAGTGTTTTATTTGTAAGCTTCATAACTAGTCTCATTACTTGCTATTCTAAGCCTCTCATTCTTATTTTTTTGTTTTGAAAAATTACTTGCTGTTCACATGTTTATTCCAATTAAATTTGCAAAAATCATAATAAGTCCTGAAATATCCTTTAGGTGTTTTATTTAGAATTGCATTAATTATCAATTAATCTTAGGAAATTTGACATTCTTTGACAATTTTACATACACCCTTTCAGGAATATATTCTGTTGTTTCTAGAAATATTGAGTCATTGGAAAAGTCATGATGCATTTTTGCACAGAAGAACATAGAAAAGTATGTCATGACTTTTCCAGTGGCTCAGTAGTTCAGGTCATCTTCAGTCAAGTGCTGCAATGTTCTTCAAATAGTCACTTCTCATTTATTGTTAAATTTAGTCCTACGTATTTTTATTTATTATGGATAATATTTTTGCTCAAACTATTTACTATCTTTTATTGATGTATTAATATTAATTAAAAATAAATGATTTAGGGATCAGCAGATGGCATAACAGTTATAATTGCTGGATTCCCACATGGCTGACCAGGTTCGAGTCTTAGACCCAGTAATTTGAAACTCACACCAGACACTTGTGCGTGTGTGCCCAAGTTCTCAGGAGGAGAATGAAGGAGAAAGGATTGCAGCATGGTCATCCCCCTTGAGGGGTGATTTCTCACTTTCCCTTTCCCTGTGTCTGGCTCTCTCTCTCTTTCTCCTGCAAGCACATGTGCCCTAATGCAGAAACCTCTTTTAAAAAATAAAAAAAAAAAAAAATATTTTTCTGTATTTAGATAACTAGATAGCTAAACATATTTTGCTAAAATTTCGGTTTTCCTCTAATGTTTTTTCAATTGACTTTTGTGGACTCTTCAAATATGCTATCAAATAGTGATGATTTTGTCTCTGCCTGATGATAATTTTTTCTTAATGCGTTTAAGTCATATTTTCTGCTTTATTGCAAATTCTAAAATGACCACAAGCATACTAAGTTTGGGGGGTAACAGCAACCATCATGTTTATGACTTTAAAGATAATGCCACAGCTTCTCCTAGGTTTGCTGTTTGCTTAATGTATTCTATCTCTCATTAAAGAGGAGTTTTTCTCATAGTTTACTATGGATAGATAGAAGAGAGATAACTGTTTTCAGTTTTGTCAAATGTCTTTCTAATGTCTGTTGAAAGATCATTTAAAATTTTATAAAACCATGGCTGGCTGATGACGTGGTGGTTAAGGTGCTGGATTCCTACATGGCCAACCATGGTTCAAGCCCCAGTGGCTTGCCTTCTCACTTGACCTCTCTCTCTGTCACACTCTCTCTCTCTTTCTCTGTCCCTCTCTGATCAAATTAAAATAAATAAATAAATTTAAATAAAATAATTCTTCAAAAAAATTTATATAACCTAATTTGTAAGATATATTATCCCAGGGAACCAGCAGTTAGCGTAATGGCTATGTCGCTGGACTCCCACGTAGTCGACCGCGGTTCGCGTCCCGGACCTGGTGGCTTAAAACTCACACCGGGCATGTGTGTGTGCATGCCCAGGATCCCGAGAGAAGAATGGAGGAGAAGGGATTGCGGCGTGACCATCCCCTCTGGGGGGTGATTTCTCGCTTTCTGTCTCTATGTCTCTCTCTGTCTGTCTGGCGAGCGCATGCGCCCTATAGTGAAAACCTCTCAAAAAAAAAAAAAAGATATATTATCCCAGTAACCTTCCTAATACTGAACCAGTGTTGCTTTTCCTTGTTTAATAATGCACACTATCCTTTCAGTATAAACAGGTTAACTTTTGGATTTTGTTATCAGTTCTGTTTATTTTATTAATTCTGCTAGTTCTATTTTATAATTTTTTTAAATAAATCTTTTTATATATTTAGCATATCATTTTGGTTTTTTGGTAAATTTGTGACTGAGCATATGAGAAATGAGTAAAAATAATAATCACCAAAAATATAGAAAATTATACAGAATAAAGCTATATTCCTTAAATGATGATAGAGAAGGCTGTAAATATATATATATCATTACAGTGCCTGCCAGAGGGTTTTCTTACAAGTCCAACTGTAAGATATTCATAACCACTTTTGGGACCAGCAGATGGTATAATGGTTAGGTCGCTGGACTCCCACGTAGTCAACCACAGTTCAAGTCCCGGTACAGAATAAAGCTATATTCCTTAAATGATGATAGAGAAGGCTGTAAATATATATATATATCATTACAGTGCCTGCCAGAGGGTTTTCTTACAAGTCCAACTGTAAGATATTCATAACCACTTTTGAGAATAGTTAACCTAGGAAGACATAGGACAGAAATAATACCTTGCCCGCAGGGCAGTATCAGTCAGTATTCTTCAACATGAGTTGTGCTTACAGTACTCACTTAGAATATAGGTCACATGCAAATAGAGGATACACATAGTTACTGAGTGCAGAAGCCAGCCTAGCTTAGACACCTAATAGCCCAAAGGAATCAATAGCTGTTGTACTAACTCCAAAGGCACAGCCAGCTTTTGGCTTTCCAAGTCCCCAAAAGGGACAGGCCCAGTTACAAGAATCACTGGACTCAGAGAAACTCAAAGATACGGCTTTTTTTCCTGAATTTATTGTTCTCTCCTCAATCCAAATGACATTTAGTGACATCCAGCTGTCATTTTTTTCTAAGCAGTGTTGCCTAAAAGCATAGTTAATATGCCACCTTTATCATGTTTCCAGGAGAACAGATATAAATCTGTAGTAAGGAAAGAGGAAATTTAAACAAAGAAAATCTACTTGGGTACTTAATCTGGCTATAAAGTAACCCAAAATGAAAACATTGATTCAGAATAGAAGTTTACTTAGACATATATGTTATGTTATTTTTTACATGATTAAATATATACCAGTATAATGTTTCTTATTCCATCTATGTTACTGTCTTGGTCCACAATCATGTTGCTTATAGCAATATCTGATACTGGGTAAAATGATAAAGACTAGAGGTTTATTTGACTCACGACTCTAGTAGCTGGAAAATCCAAAGGCACAGGGCTGGCATCTGATCAACTACAGCATGTCCAACAGAAGCAAAGAGAATGGTGGGCAATTCACAGAGTGAGTCATGGGGTCAGCCATCTATCTTTTCTAACAACCAACTTTTGTGAGAATTAATTCCTCTCATGAGAGCTAGAATTCACCAGATCGCTCCAGATATCCTCAGTCCATTCACGAGAACAATGTGTCCAGGATCCTGTCACTGCTCACTTGTCCCCACCTCCTAATGCCATTACACTGGGATTACATTCCAAAATTTGAGCTTTGGTGGGGCAAACCGTTATCCAAACCAAAGCAGTAACTTAAAGTTCCAACATTAAATCTGATATGTTTGTTCTCCATATTTTCACAGGTCAAATATGGGAATTACGCTTTTGTGTGGGATGCAGCTGTATTGGAGTATGTGGCTATCAATGACCCAGACTGTTCCTTTTACACCATTGGGAATACCGTTGCTGATCGAGGATACGGCATCGCATTGCAACATGGCAGTCCTTACAGGGATGTATTTTCACAAAGGTAAGATTTGTGTATGTACAATTTACATACTATTTCTGTATATATAATTTATGAATCTGTAGTCAGGAGCGAGTAGACATAGAAAATCTACTTGGTTACTTAATCTGGTTTATTACAGTTTGTTTGGAGAATTACAATAACCAATAACATGAAATTTAATTATAAGTGGTTAATAAGGCATCCATGTCCTAAAATGTGTACTGAGGAATATTTTTCTCATAAATCAGGGAAGGCTGTTGCTCCACATAACTGGTTTAACTCTCAGCAAGTTGATGTGGACGTGAAAGTGTGTTAGTATTATCGATTAGAACCTAATTGAGCAGTTTAAGTCTCTGAGCTATTAGAGACTAAATGTCATAGACTCAGGAAAATTAATTCATTTCTATGAACACTAAAGCATAAAATAACTTTAGGCCCAAGGTAAAACTCCAGTGTACCGAACGCACAATGATAAGGACACTTTCATCTACATTTTGCAATGGAAAAAGGTAAAGATACTTAGAGTTCTCCACTTCATGTCGAAGTATATGTGAGAACTTCAAGAAGACAGCTTAAGAAATTATATCCATTCCCAAATAAGAATTTTCTATTCCAAGAAAGTTGTTTAACAAAGAAGATTTTTAAATGTACATTTGGGCTTAACAATGTCTATGAAGGACTTGGGCCTGAACGGAGTTCGCAGAGATCGCCGCACTTTATTCTACCTTCTACCAAACTGACTTGAGCCTGAGAGAGATTAGTATCTTCCAGGTAAAGTATGCTCCATTCTGTAGCGATAGTACATTTTGTTTATAGTCTAGATGTTCTTCTACCGGTTATCTAAAAGCCAATGCCAGACCAAGTGGGCAGGTTCAGATAATACTACACCCTCTCCCCAATTTCAAGCTATATGAATTGTATCTCTTCAGATTTTAGGATAACAAAAAGTCAGTCAAAAAACTAAAATCCAGTAATCCAAAATTTATGTTATGATTTTTCTGTTCACAAAACACAAAAACCTAGACCTCTCTTATCTGTAAAACAAGGAGGTTAGATTAATTCTAAGGTCCTGTATTTGTCAGTTTTCTGTGTTGCAAATAACTCCAAAGTATCAGTGCTTAAAATAGTAATTCCTCATTCATGAAACATGAAGGCTGCGACTTGGCTGTGTTCTGCCGTAAGGTATGGGTCAACTGTAGGTCTGCTCTACACGGCTTCGCATTCCAGGGCCCAGGCTGCAGAGGCAGCCCTATCTGGGACATGTTCTCCTTGCAAAGAGTGGTTGCAGAAGAGGCTGGCAGAAACTGCAGTGCCTTCTGGGCTTCTTGCTTGGATGTGGCTGACAACCATCTACCCGCAGACCACTAACCAAAACAAGTCTCGTAGTCAAGCCCAAAATCAATCAGCGGGTTAAGTGTACTTGGTGTAAAAGAAAGAAGGGGAGTAAATAATACGATATGCCAGTGATTCCTTCTGGCTTTAAACAAATTTTAAATATAAGACCAAAATTATATGTAAATAGATAATATGCATAAGCTAGGAAGCAAAATATTACAGTATAAATAAAAATACAATCAAATCCAATTGTTGATGAGTAGATTCTAATGGGAAATAAGCTAGAAAGATCAGCTGTGGCCTAGAAGGTCTGCCTGTGAGGCATTTGCAATCTAGAAAGAGATACACAATCCATGCATATGAAAAGAAATGAACAGACAGTTCCATAAATATGTGCGGATTGTATATATTTTGAGTCATCGAGAAAGTCATGACACATTTTTAAATAGAAAAAATACATCATGACTTTCTCAACAACGTAATATGTACAGCAGATAAGAAAATGCTGTTATATGTTATATGTACATATATAATGTGTGTGTGTGTGTGTGTGTATATATATATATATGTATATAAATCAGGATTGCTTATTAATAGTTTGTTACATTTGTGTAGTTGAGATATTGAAAGAATTGAAGAATAAGGAGTTAAGCCAAGGACACATGAATGAAAGCTCTCCAGAGGTGAGCCCTAAACTGGACCTTGAAAGATTAGTAGAGAATACTTAAGCTAAAAGGGAAAAAATAAATAATATTTGGAGATATAATAAAGACCACAAAATGGAAGTAGAAGACCGCAAAGCAAGTTGGGGCATATTAAGAATGCTAAGTGAACTTGGAAGGCAATGTGAAGTTCAGCATTCATATTGTAGGTCACAAGCACCTCCTGAACCTAGTATCCATCCTGAAGCCCAGGAGGAAAGTGATAAAAGTGGTATTTAAGGAAAGGTTAATATTGTTTTGGTGTGAAAAATGGAGTGGAACTGACAGACTTGAGCAAACCTGGAAGCGTGAGTTAATGGAGGCCTATCTAGAATCCGGCAAGGGGAAATGAGAGGAAAGAGAGAATAGGAGAGAATTCTAAGAAGAGATGCACACCCAGGTTCTGAATTTAGATGTGAGGATGCAAAAGCATGATTAAAATGAAAGGCTTCATGGTAAAAAGGCAGCAGAAAAGTTTCAAGATTCTTCCCTTTTACCCAGGTAGTTGAGGAGGCTTTTGGATGATTTCTTCTGGTTATAGTTAATATTAATGTATAAAATAAAGAGTATATATTGGAACCAGCAGATGGCATAGTGCTTACTAGACTCCCGCAAAGTTGACCACAGTTTGAGTCCAGGACCCGGCATCTTGAAACTCATGCTGGGCATGTGTGTGTGCGTGCCCAAGATCCCAAGAGGAGAATGGAGGAGAAGGGATTGCTGCTTGGCCATCTCCCCGGGGGCATGATTTCTCACTTTCTGTCTCTCTCTCTGTCTCTCCAGTAAGTACATGAACCCTATAGCAAAAATCTCTCCAAAAAAATAAAAATAAATAATAAAAAATAAATAGTATATCATGATACAGTAACTGCATTTATTATCTGCTATCTTCCGGGAGTCTTACATGCTTATGTGTTTTATGAACACTTCAAAACAAGTGCCTGAGATGTTACACATTTATTATAGATTTGCACGTTGCTGCATGACTGTTATTCTGTAAGTCCTATGCTGAGTGGAAGGGCCTGCATTTTGACAAGCACCAGGTTCAACTCAGGAGACATGGGTTGTAGTGATACATTCACTTAATTGTATCTGGGAATGATTTTTAAGACCCACTAAGGGCTACAATATACATAACCAGAGAATTGGCTAGAAGAGGTTTGTTCCCTTGGTCTGCACAAAATTAGATAACTTGGCAGCAGGAGTTCAAGTCTTTATTATATTTCATCAGATGAGTCAGAGTACTAGTGTGGCGGGTAATGTTTGTAATGACACTATTCCATCAAACGTTTATGTGGTCCTTGCCTTGTAACACTTCCTACCCCCAAAACATTATTTAGTCAAATAATGTTTCATTAAAGACATTTAAGAATGGCATGGTGGTTGGGCCACTGGACTCCCAGATGGCAAAGCGCAGTTCGTTTCCTGGATTTGGTGACTTGTTTTCTCACTTTCTCTCTCTCTCTCCCAGGGAAGTGACTGTTTCCTATAGCAAATTAAATGCTAATGATAATAATAATAGATAAAATTCAATAAATAATTCTTCTTTAAAAAATGGAAGAGAGAGGGACCAGCAGTTGGTGTAATGGCTATGTCACTGAACTCCCATGTAGTCAACCACAGTTCAAGTCCCGGACCCGGTGGCTTAAACTCAGGCCGGGTGCATGTGTATGTGTGTGTGTGTGTGTGTGTGTGTGTGTGTGTGTGTGCCCAAGATCCCAAGAGGAGAATGGAAGAGAAAGCATTGCGGCGTGACCATCCCCCCAAAGGGTGATCTCTCGCTTTCTGTCTCTCTGCCTCTCTCTTTCTGGTGAGCACATGCACTCTAGCAAAAACCTCTCCAAAAAAAGAAAAAAGAAAAAAATGGAAGAGAACAGCATTTTTCGGACCAACTTTTTTGTGCTGTTAATAAACTAACTCCAGTGTTGACCTTAGAATCTTAACTATTCAGGAGGCTAAAAAGATAACAAAATAGTAATTGAGCATTTAGGATGAGCTCACCTCTTTTTAAATCTTAGTGTCAAGGAAGAAATAATTTATGAATTAAATTTTAAATTTCATCAATAAAGGGTTTGCTTTTTGCCTATTGGCTTCTGTTCCCTGAATTTTGCACATGGAACTACCCAGGGGCACAAAAACAGTGATATGTTTCAGGTTTCATGGAGCACGGTTTAGCTTGGATTCAGGATAGTGGCACAGATGCATAAACAGCTTTTCAACCTGATCACAGAATTTAAAATTATTTCAACATGCAAAGAATAGTAGTTGTCCTTTTTATTTAAAGAGAGAGAAAGAGATCCAAGTAATCCAATAGATTAAACAACTTGCTTAGTATTACAAAAAAGCAGTGAAATGGAAATTTTCAAGATTCTCATTCTTTGTCTAGGTTTCTGGTCTTTAAGCACCTGTCTTCCCTTGTATTTCTTCTAAAAGTGTGTGAGAATAATACGTATATACTTAGGTACTTATATAATATTCCCTTGTGTGCCACCTCTGAGTTCTTACACATCTTGTAAGTGCTACTGCTGTCCTCAACATTATTAATACAAAAACAAAGATACAGGCCAGCCACACTGCCTAGTGATTAAAGGAACCAGATCCCGCATGGCCTACCAGGATTGGAATCCTGGCCCTCATGGCTTGAAAAACAAACTAAGTGTGTGTGAGTGCATGTCTAGAGTCCTGAGAGGATGGAGAAATGGAGGAAAAGGGATTATGCCGTGACCATGCCCCATTGAGAGAGGAAAGGGTCTCTCTCTCTCTCTCTCTCGCTCTCTCTCTCTCTCTGACTCATTCTGGCAAGTACACCCTTTAGCAATTAAAAAAGTAAATAAAAACGTGATGCAATGGGAGAATTTGTCCAACCTCTCTAAGCTATTGGATATTATAACTGAGATTCTAACCAGGCATTCTGGGTCCAAAAATTGAGGCTCTTAACCATTCTGCTGCACTGCTGTTTATGTAAACAATATGTATTTCTAACAA